GAAGGGCGGCAGCCCTTGGTCAGGGAAACCACAAGAAGTCAGATTTGACTGAGGCTGCTGCAGGTGGCAACGTGTGATTTTTGCAGCACATTTTTTTTGTGAATTCACAAATAATCCCCTAATGTAGTGTCAACTTTTCTAGAAAGCCTCTTTTATAATCAAGATTTAGGGTTTCATTATCTCCAGCTCTCTTTCCTTTAGTCTTTCCAGTTACTTGACTCTTTCACAAAAAAGAGGGAGCAACAACTAAAGAGAGACCACCTCCACTATAACCTTTTCTTTTCCCTCACACTGAAGATGACAGAACAGCATATTTTTAAAAGCACAGACTCCTCCCAAGTTGTACCATCTGTTTCCTGGCATTACGAGAAGAGAGAAGTGTTTTGTACAGCACAGTGACTAAAATGTTCCAATTTTCAAACAAAACCATTGCACAAGAATAGAGTGGGATCATCTTGAGGTGGTTTGGGCACACATTTCCTTTTTTGCACTCTGCTTGCCTTTGTTTCACTCCTGAAGTTCTTAGTTTCTTTACACTTTGCCCCAGTCCTTCCCCTGCAGAGTTGCCATCATAGGGAAATAGTGGAATTTTGTTTAGCATTGAATGCAAATCCTAACTTAGCCATAAATGGTTTTCAGCAGTCAAGATACTTTTCTGCTTCTCCTACTGACTGTTCAGGCCAAGCACACTAACTTGGTGATAGTGTAACTGCATCCTTCCTTTGCCAAGAGTTTAAAGTGGGTCAAGCAGTATGGAGTAGCAGCCCCGGAGTCTACTGATACAGAAAACATTCACGTGTGAACCATTTCTTAAAAACAAAACAAAACAAAACGCCCAAAAAAACAAGCACACAAGATACCAGGTGATAGTTCAGTATTACAATGTATTATAATGTGCAAAACTCACCATTTACAAAACAAGATACAAACATGTGCCAGGGGTCTCAGGTACACAGCAAACAGACAGCAATGCTGCCGATCTGTACAATAGCACTTCTGCTCATTCTGTGTCATCAGACACAGGCTGCTGGTGAGGTTGTGTCCCCACCTCACGTCACTGCTCACACCTGACCTGGGGAGAGCCCCAGCCCCTTGCAAAGGAGCGGCTCTCCTGGACTTTTTGGACACATCTACAGAACACACACGTGTAACACCACCACTTAATCTCTGCATATGTAGGACTGACTTGCACACCTCCCCCACTGAGTAACTTAAAAGCCACAAAATGCTACAACACATCCAAGACACACGGATGTTGGTGACAGACTGTACAAAATGATTAGTGTTCACCTTACTGATACATTTAATCCTCTGCTAACACAAGGACTATTTGGGAAATGCTGCCAAATCCCTCTGCAAATCTATAATGCTGCTGACATAGAAGTCCCTTACCAACCTCCTTTGCTTATTTTCTGCAGGGAGCCTGAACCAGCAGACTAACATTTTAATCCTAAATTAGATTCTCTACAATCCTTCTCTGTCCCTTCTCTACATCCTTTTCTTTCCATTTCCTCTTCCAACCCCCTAGTTCTGTCTAAAATAATTATATAAACAATATTCCAGATAACAGTACATGAAATTCAGATAAAGGCAACAAAATCACCAGTGCCAATGTTACAATCTTTTTACAGATAACATACGTTTCATAAAAACTCTTCTGTATCAGGAAAAGAAGAGAAATCACAGAGACTTTCAATGCAATACTCTAAAACCAGCAAGAGATTTATTCTTGTATATTAAATGTTAAAATCACATGCATAATTATAGAATATTTTATAGTTAAAAAAATATTTCAAAAACCAACCCTGACAGTTTACCTGCAACTGCTATAAATTTTCTATGATATATATATATATAAAACCATGGCAATTTTCTGTAATTAAAAAAAATTAGGAAAGGATGCAATCATCCAGGTAATTACGAGTTAACTGATGCCCTGCATCGGACAGTCTTGTCAAGCCCACGCTGGTGAAACTGCGCTGATACCAGCCAGTTTACTGAAATATTGTCTACCATACATGTATTTAAAACAGAATGACATTTGGCTAAAGGATGAGTGTAAGAAAATAAAATTTTTTTGCACACTACAGCAAAAGGCCTGCAGAGGGCCACAGTATAACATGCTTCCAAAGAGTCTGTGGCACCAGAACGTCAGCCCCAGGGACTGTTCCCGCAGCAGGGCTGGTGGAACACCCCGCACTACCGGCCACAGGCACCGTGTACATGGGGCTGTGAGCAACGCTGCAGGTGTCTGCATGTGTTTTGTAGGCACTTGTGGTTTAAGACCTGGTTTAGCTCCTAAGGAGGGCAGCCAACAGAGATGTTTTAAACAGTTCAGAAGGAACAGAAATTAAAGGATGAGCTGCTGGTTTTAAGACGACTCGTTGTTTTGAAAAATGGCACCATAGGGATCACTGTTAATGCGCTTGTAGACAAAGTGGAACACCTGGGGCTGTGGGCGGCTGTGCAACTCTGCCTTAATCTTCTGAGGGTAGGTATCTTCTGTCAGTTGCTGCCAGGTGTCATCCACAAACAGGAACAGGCTGTATTCTTCTGGATTGTCCACTTTAAACTTTTCAGCACAAAGCTGACATACATCTTCAGTAGTGATATATGGTCTTACTAGCAAGGTCTTCCCTGTACATCCACTGTTAACTTCCTGGAATGCAACACGAAGGTAGTTCTGTAGAATGAGAAAACAGGCATCAGAAACTCAAATCAACAAAACCTCATTTTCTGAAAACTGGAGAGTCAGCAACAAACAGCAAGCCTCTCCGTGTTCTAGTGGTGGAACACTGGTGATTCTTTACAGCCACCTGTGAATTGTGCTGGCCAGCCTGCAGTGGGCATGATTGGAATGCAAAAGCTGACACATACCCTCTATGATCCTCCTCTCCTTTGCTCACATTCTAACCCTGCCATTAAGAGTGGACAGATACAGCCTTAAAATCATGTGGAAAACACCAGTGGTTTTAACGGGACTTGATGTTTGACCGTACTAGGAAAGAAAATGCAGTGAGGCAAATTAAATGTCTGAGGGAGCACACCCCAGACAATGCTGCCACTGCTGGGTCAATGCTGGAGAACAGAAGCTTCACACAACATCAGTCAGATGGAAAAAGGGGAAAAAAAAAACCAGCCTCTGCCAGCAGCACACAAGGGTGTTGACCCACAAGTTACTGCACGGTAAGAGTTTCCACTCTTAGGCTGCAGTATGCAAAAGGTAATCCATCCTCACGGAGGACATTTCCACTACCTTAACTGGTGCCAGTTTGGTGTGGGAGCCTGATGCAACAAAGTTCCTGTGACAGCATTTCCTTTCTTTAAATAAGGCTTAGAGGGATGCAGAAAGATAATATACTCTGCAACATTAGGGTAAATCCATATGATCTTGAGTCGAAAGCTAGATTTATTTTTTTTCCCTGCTGAAGAAGCTTTTGGACACATGAACAAAGCAGCTTGCTGTCTTGTACTTTTTTTAAAAAATAAATTAACTGCAATTAAAGACTAAAAAGCAGTAAAAATAAAGGAGGTGGGGAAAAATGACAGAAAGACCTATTTATTGACTGAGCTGGTACCTATGTTTGTATGCTGCATAAATTAGGCATGCTAAATCACAATGGTCAAAATTTACACTTAATTAGAAAAAAAGCTGTTAAAGCTAAGACTAAGAGGAACGTTCATGTGACTTAAGTTCCAAAGAGCACTCTTGTCTTAAAGTGTTTTTTGATAGCCTACAGACTGAAACAATGAAACTTTGCAACATCATTTAAATCACTGGAATGGAGCCTGACTGAATAGAATGAATCCCTTTTTGTTACTCAGCATAAAGTAATTAGTAAAAAATCAGCCTAGATAAGGCAAAACACACTGCAGTTCTAATTTCTAATGTAGTTAACACACAGAAAACCTGTTTTTAAATGCGTGTGCTTTTAGACAAACAGAATTGCTTCAAGGAGGGGCTGGAGTTTGTACAAATGTCTGTAACTCATCTACTTAAGTACAGAAAGTATGCGGTATCAAGAAGTTGAATTTAATCATCATCGAAATATGGGAGTTTTTGCTTTTCCATCTTTTTGAGGTAGGGAAGGGGGGAAGATGAAGGCCCTCCAGGGCCCAAAAGCTGCATCACAGAAATGCAGTGATGACATCCTGGTTCAATGCAGGGAAAGATAAGCTGAGGTCAAGTTGTTACATGTTGGTTGTAGGGAAGATGCTTCATTTCAGGACTGCAGGATGTGGAGAAGGGAGATGGAAAACTGGCATTCTAAGCAGGCAGCAAAATGCATTAAATTGTGCCAAGCATAGCCTAAGAGTGGTGTGACCTTACTGATTTTTACTGAGACTCCCTTTTGAAAGAGACAAGATAAGGAGAAGCACTGCACACACTCAATGCCAGCTTTCCCCCTGCACTTTCTTGCCTCCAGCACAGCATCCAGCTGTACAATTGGCTTGACTGAAGTTCATTTGCTGAGGAAGAGAAGGTGACATGGAATACAAGATCGTGCTGAAAGAATCCTCTGCCATTTAGTCATACAGCAGAAACATAAGGCAATGAATTTTCCTATGAACAGTGTATCATTTTGCTAGAAAAAGACTCAAGCTACTTGAATCTGACACCTAACTGCAGGTAAGGAGAATATAAAATGGATCCCAGTAAGATGGACTAGCTTTGCACACAGGCCATAGTTTATAATTTCGGTTAATCGGTTCTTCTGCCAAGAAAGGCAAATTGTGGAAGATTGCTTTTTTTCCCAATTCCTTCCTGTTCAGTGTTCTGCTGTAGTTGTCTGCATGGACACTGATGAAGCAGAAGAAGCCTCAACTGAAATGGTTTCATTTTCTCCTGGTGATCTCACAACTTCGTTGCTTAAGCAACTCACTCACTCACAACTAACTGATAGTTGTCATTAGCCTCTCTGGCAGCTTTGTGCTGTGCTATGAACTGTAAACAACAGAGCACAAAGGATCAAATCCTTTCTTCTCGATTCCATCCTTCTCCTTGCTTCAGTCCACAGGGTACTACATGAAAGATACACAGGCCTGGTTTTAAAGGATGAAGTAATCCCGACTGTTTTGTTATTCTTCAGTTGAAGTTACTGCCCTACTCTGAAAGAGCAGTAAGAAATAAAGGGAAAGGAAAAAAAAACACAAACAAACATTAAGACATTCATAGTATAATACTTTACTCCTTGCTTAAACTTCAGAACTGCAGGCAAGCTTTTCTCCCACCTCTCCTCCCTGTTACCTGCTGTGTGCCACTATTAGCCACTGGGGAGCTGTGCTGATTTATACCACTGGAAATCTGGATGTTTTCTTTTTCACAGCAAAGCATACAGAGAAGCTGAATCTAAGATATGGTTCAGTTTGTCCTTGCTCTGCATGGCTTAAATAGAAGGGAAGGTGGGAAAGCTCCATTATTTGGTGTTTTCTTTAGACCTACTATAAAGTGCAAAGACTTCAGAATGGAGGCAAATTCGCCAGCTGTATTCTCAGCACTGCTTCACTGCACTTACCTTGTGCCCGCAAGGGAACTGCTATGACTCACACCTCTCAAATGGGGAATTCTAACAAAACAATCATCCCCTGTTTTTTTAATTCAGCCCTAAGCTCTACCTGAAAATCATCAACTGAAGGTATCGTCCTGTTAGTTGTCCTCCTCTTGTGCCACTGCCGGAGAGTATCTCTGGCTTCTGAGCTCAGCAGTCGGGCAGCTTGCTCCTCCTGGAAGTTCTTGATCAGTGAAAGGGCTCCATAAGCACTTGTCAGGTAATAGCCTCCTGGAAAGGACAGCGAGGGAAGAACTTCTCAGAGCAGTCACAAACACAACACTGGTTCTCACTGGTCACAGTCAGAAGTGCACAATTGTTTTAATATATATACATACACATGCACACACAAACATGTATGCAAGTCCCTGTACTTTATTGCCAAAATATTTGTATGCACACCATATTATCAAGTGCTGTGGCAGAACCTGACTCTGGATCCACCAGTGCTGGGATAGTTGATTACTTAAATGACTGTTGTCACTCCTTTATTCCCTAGTGTTTTTACAAAGTTGGAAGCTGAGCTTTCTTTTAAACAAGTTCCAGACAGTGATTTTTTTTATTTCCTAAGCTTCAAGTGTGGACGAACTAAACACTGCTGTTTAAACAAAGTAAAAGGATCTACCACTGTTCAAGAACTCAAAAGAAACCATCCTTAGTGGAAATAAAGCAATTACCAAGTGTGTGATCTGTACCCTAGAAGTACCCCAAAAACGTTTTTTTTTTGTTTGTTTGTTTGGGGGTTTTTTTGTGTTTTTTTTTTAAAGGAAACCGTGTTTGTCACCTTTTCAGCATTTCCCATAATGTCCAGCTAGTTCAGGAGGTGATGTGCACTGTCCTCCATACTTCATCTTTATGACATGAGTGGAGAACAAACTAAAGTCAAGACAGAATTGCTAATGTACAAAAGAAGCTGCAGGTCACAAAGGAGAAAGGGTCTCAACAGGAGATAATAGTCCCCAGTCACCAGGAGAAACAAAATACATGCTGTAATTTATTTCTCTTTTTTTTTTTTTTTTTTTTTTTTAAGTAAACTATTTGAGTGGGAGTGCCCAATTTGTAGACAGCACAGTCTATTCACAGAGTCACTCAAAGAGGCTTTCTATGCTCACAGTAGTATTTTCTGTGTTACTTTAGCATCCTCTTGGCCTTTAGCTTTGCAACAAGTTTAAAACATAAAACACATGCACAACCCATGAGACAAATTGAACATTTGAACTGCACATTACATCTGAACTGCACAACCCCAAAGCACTGAACAATTTTTTTCTGCACAGTGTAGTTCAGCTGGTGCCAAAAAAAGCCAGATAATGGACAGACTTGCTGCATTAAAAGCAACATGACTTAATACTCCGATAAATATTTCTGCCTTTCAGGCATGTTGATGATCTCCAGCTTCACAGCTTAAGTATTTCTGTGCTAAGATTCCTGAACAATGCACTAGAGGATGCTCTGTACACAAAGCAGGGAACTGACTAGTGCCAAACTGGAGGAATTCTGGCAAGGTTCTCTCATGCATACCGGCACGTAAGA